ACGATCCTAGCAATTGGCCACTGCAATGGATGGGTATTATCACCCTTGACTAGTACCACCATACCAGGCTCTAAGTTTGCTTTTTTCTCTACCCATTTCGGTCGTTTCTGAAGTTGGTTGAGGTAATCTACATGCCACCTCTTCCAGAACAACTGCTGAATACGAGACAACCTCTGATACACGGACAATCTGTTTTCAGGTAAACTGGTGACGACTTGCTCAGGGTGAGCCATCATAGATGTTCCTATTAGGAAGTGGGCAGGTGTCAGGCATTCCAAATCATTGGGATCACCTGACAATGGAGTGATTGGCCTTGAGTTCATAATTGCTTCTATCTGGCTAATCACCGTATAAAATTCCTCAAAAGTGAGGTTTGCATTTCCCACAAGACGGTGCAGATGATATTTACAACTACGAATAGCACTTTCATGTAGTCCTCCATGATGTGGACTATTGGGCGGAATAAAATGAAACTGAATGGAATTTTTTGAACAAAAATCGTGCAACTCCTGAGAATTTTTGTTATCCTTAAAAAATTCGTATAGCTCGAAAAGAAGATTTTTAGCTCCCCAAAAGTTAGAGCCATTATCGGAATACAATGTCGTGGGATTACCTCGACGCGAGATAAACCGCTTAAGCGCTAAAATGAAGTCTTCTGTAGACAAACTAGATACGACCTCAATGTGTACGGCCTTCGTGACCATACAAACAAATATAGCTACATAAGCTTTAAGTAATTTGGCCTTTCGTAATCTAGAGGCTTTTATAAGAAAGTATCCCCCATAGTCTACAGAAACGTTCTGAAATGGATGAATTGGTTGTACTACACGATCTTTGGGTAGATCTGCCATCAATTAGCTGGAGCCTACAGCTCTAAATCTAAAACAAGTTACGCAATGATGAATGACACGTTTGACATCCCGCAATGCATGTAAAGGCCAATAACGAAGTCTGACATTAGACAGTGTACCTTGGGACCCTAAATGCCCTAACTGTACATGTTTTTCGTATAACATCATCGAAACGACTTGATTTTTTGAGGGAAGGAGAATTGGATTCTTTTGAGCAAGAGGAATGTTCGCATTCCTCAACCTACCTCCAACTTTTACGCAGTTATCACTCTCATCTAGAAATAAATTTAAAGCAGCCAACTACTTATCCGGAGTGCCCTTTTCGGATTTCAATGATTCGATAATACGAGGGAATGAGATAATTTGGACATGTCGCACAATCAGCAATTCAGCTTGCTGTAGTTCTGCCACATACAGAGGGCCCTTCTTTATAGAATCTCTTTTTCGAACATTGTTAACAAAACGAAGAATAAAAGCCATGACTCGGCGCAAACGGGAAAAAGTTGAATATAATTTGAAAATGTCTTCCCAGAATGTTAAATCCTGAGTTGAGTGAAACACTACTCTGTGGTCTTTTAACCCAATTACATTCGTAAAATCTAAATTAATCGAATGTTTAGAATAGTCAATATCATGAGTCGACAAGAATTCGGGCCCAACAAGCCAAGTTTTCGTCGACTCAAGTGTTCCAGGCGTAGCTCCCCGCGAAGCTATATCCGCAGCGTTGTCTTTAGATGCCACATGATGCCAATAGAAATCCTTTGACAAATCTTGAATCCGTTTTACTCTATTGGCCACAAACAACTCCCACCTTGTAGGTGAGCCATTTACCCAGTGAAGGGCGATTTCAGAATCCGTCCAGAGATGAACTGATGACAACTATATTCTATTTTTGAAAATTTTCACAAGTTTACAAGCCAATTCCGCTCCCAAAAACATGGCACATAACTCCAAACGAGGAATGGTTAGAGGATTTTTTAAAGGGGCTACTTTGGTACGTGAAGTCAACATCAGTACAGATATAGAATTATTTGTGTATAACGCACGAATATAAGCTACGGTAGCGTATACTATCGAGCTGGCATCGCAGAAGATATGCAATTCGATAGTAGAAGTATCAAACGAATGTAGAAATTATCGAGGAATTTTGATATTACATATGTGAGGCAACTCTTTAAAAGGAAAGTATTCCATTCGGTCAATACTGTAATATCAGTAATTGGATCGTCCCACCCCACGCGGAGCGTCCACACCTTTTGAACTAACAATTTTCCGAGCAGTATAACAGGTGACAGAAAACCCACTGGATCGAAGCACTTCGCTACAATTGACAAAATTACCCTCCTTGTGATGGCTCCTGACACCTTAATAGTGGGGGAGGTAAAGAAAAAACAATCGTCAAAAGGAGACTATTTAAGACCTAACAATTTGCTTGTAGATAAATCCATATCCACCTCTTCCATGGCCGTAGAATCAACAGAGAGAGATCTCAAAAATTGAAGTGAATTAGACGAATACTTATGCAAAGAGAATTTGGCCGAAATCAATACCTCATTGAGTTGCTGGAATAAGATTCTGAGATTAGTTTCATCATTACATCCTGACAAAATATCGTCAATGTAAGTTTGACTGGTCAGGGCATCATAGGCGAATGGGTATTTCTCTTTATTAACCTTTGCCAAATGATTCAACATACGGGTCGCCAAATAAGGAGCCGGTCTAGTACCAAAAACTAATCTATTGTGCTGCACACTTTGTAGCTTGTCCTGTGGACTATCTCGCCAAAGAAAATTAAGTACAAATTGGTGTTCAGGATTAACGTGTATCTGCCTATACATTTTCTGAATATCCGCCGTAAGAACGAATCGAAACGATCGTAAACGAAGTACAATGTCGTACAAGTTAGGCTGGACCTGAGGCCCAGTAAATAGTACATCATTAAGGGATAATCCCGTAGACGTACGCGCGCTTGCGTCAAAAACAACCCGAGTCTTGGATGACCCAGTATCCTTTACTACTGCAAAATGTGGAAGAAAATATGCATTAACACCTAGGTCATTCTGCAGCATTTTTGGCACAATATCTGCATGCGATAGATAAAGATATTCGTTGATTACTTTCGTGTAATCAGTTTTCAAAGAAGGGTTTCGAAGAAATGTACCTTCAAGAGAAGAGAAACGCTTGGCAGCCATATTATAGGAATGACCAAGGTTAAGCTTTTCTAATGGACACATAAAAGGCAAATCCACCTGGTAAGCACCATCTGGCAGACGCAGAGTGGTGTCTGAGAATATCTGTTCTGTAATGGCATCGTCTGAGGTGAGCCTGTGCTCCTCTGGCATTTCCTCACACGTTCAGAACTTTTCGACAATATCGGTCAAAGTATCATTCGTCAAAATACTCGACTGACAGGTAACCATATGATGAGAAACATAAGTTAAATTACTAGACAGGGGTCGTGGCCTCGTAGAGGGTTGTAAACAAGAAGTGGGGACATTCCCGGAAACAATGTATCCGAAAATAGAATCTTGTAAAATTGGCATATTATTTCCTAAACGAATAAGATCATTTTGCAAGATACGAGCAACTTGGTCCATACCAAGCAATATGTCTATATTATCTGGTTCTCCAAAATTAGGATCAGCCAGAACACAATTGGGTGGAATCTTTAATTTACCCACATTTATTTGAATTTGTGGCAGACGAGAAGTTATATTTTTTAAAACAGTACATGAGACCTTCAATCGATCCATAGAAATGTGAGAATGAATAACGATATCCACCATATCATTAGCGACGTGAGGACTCGCATTGAGTGCAGCAATAGAGACGGATTTCTGATAAGGCAAATATTTCAGTTTATTAAGTAAATCCTCTGTTACGAAAGAGATTTGACTCCCAGAATCAATAAGGGCTCTAGCCTTAACTTTCCGACCTTCGGAAGAATACAAAAATACAGAGATAGTATCTAGCAATACAAGACCTTCCTGGGCACAAAAGGAGGCTACTGAAGCATGCGGGGAAGTTGAGGTATGCTCGTTTGATGAACTAGGCGCATTCACATGAGCTATCTGGGAAGTAGATGGCTTGAAATTAGGTTGATGCTGAGACGATGAATTTTGCGACCTATTACTTTGAGACGACCGTGACGAGTTATCATGACGTTGTGTAGAAACGTTTGAAAAAGGAATTTCGCCCACCTATTTATGCAACAAAGTGTGATGACGTTTGTTACATTTTACACAATTTTTAGTACTATTACACTGTGATACGATATGACGAGGATACAAACAGTTTATACAAAGTTCCTTATCTTTTACAAATCTCCATCTCTCAAAACCTGTTAAACTTAAAAACTTTTCACACGTGTACAACTTATGAGCATTACTGGAACAACAAAAACATTTGATAGCTCTATCTCGCCCTTGGGACTGACCAATTCCATTATTAGGACCAGAGCTAGCATGAAACACCGACTTTACCTGTTTTCCAGTACTTAACTTTTCTCTACATTCCCGTGTCTGACCATTTAAATTCTCTAAATGAGTTGCCCTTAGATCGATATGGTTAAGAAATTTATTTAAATTAGGAAGCTCATTTAACTTATTGCTATCAAACTCTAAGTAACGTTTCGTTGCGAAATCCAATTTTCTCTCAGATAGACAAACTACTAAGGATTCAAACAACTGACGATCACTTAGACCTTGATTTTCCAAAGCTCTAATTGAATTTTTTAATGAAACATGAAAATCTCGTAACAAATTGTGAGATGCTTGTGCATTATTTGGCACACTTTTGATATCCAATAACGCAGTCAATAATGAATGAATTAAAATATTTTTATTCGCATATCGATGCAAGAGGGTATCTAAAGCAATCTGAAAGTTGTCATTAGTAACCTGCAGATTTTCAATGAGCCGCGTTGGCTCGCCTTTTAAATAACTTTTGAGGTACATTGAGTACAACAATCAACGCAACAAAGAGTTCATAGAAAGAATTCCATTCAGATAATTTACCGGAGAAATGAGGAATATTTATTTCGGGCAATTTTACCTGTGTTTTTGGAGAATAATTAGAAGATCCACTACCTACTTTAACCTGCAGTGACTCGATCTTATTTCTAATCGATGCTAAAGCTGTCAAAGCTACATCTTCTACACTGTTGCAATCCTCGCTGTCGACAACGGCGGAATCTTCACACAATAAATTGTCAATTTCATCCTGTGACTCAGTATATTTATCATAAGCAGCCTGTAAGACTTCACGACGAACCCTCAACTGGTGTTCATCCGGCAATGAAATATTATCCTGAATCCAATTATTCTGCCTCGTGATGGCAGCCTTTGCACTCCTTCTAGCTTGTTTAAAGATATCCATTCTATAGATAAAAAATGGAGCAGCCAATATATGAAAGTTTACAATAGAAAACAGAAGGATTGCTGCAGTATAAAAATAACTTTAAATCCCTGAATTTTTCACACAAATAAACCAAAGAAATGCTTGTACTAATCAGGCTCTACAGACCAGGTATCTTATTCAGGAAACGAAATAGCACAATTAATATAAAATGATCAGAATATGCTACTGATATTCCTACACTCAGAAAAAAGTTAAATAGAAAGTGATTGTAATAACCAAAAATAAGTTTTAAGCCTCACAAGCCCAAAAAACAGAAATGTCTCTACAGACTGGGTAAATTTTATGATAAAATAAATACCCCAATGTAACTGGTTTTACTAACTACAAAAAAGGTTTCTAGCATAAGAAAACCTTTAACAAATACAGTAGTAATAAAATCCACAAGGAAAAATTCCTGTAGCTGGCTGTATACCACGTATAACAAAAAGAGGTTAATCTTTGTAAATGGGTATATTTATTTAAAAAACCCTTAAAAGGGCCACATCAATAAAACAAACGTTTTCGGACCACACAGTCCATCATCAGGTTTTTAAAATCGAAAAATGCTAGGTCACAATGCCTGAGCCACCAAAATACTAGGGTAAAAACCCTTTAAATTACATTTAGTTATAAAATATTGTACATTGTGTTGTAAAATAACTGTGATGTTCAGTATTAAATTAAATTTGACTAGAGGTAACACATGGCTCAATCGGGTTCCAGAGCCGGTAAGAGAGAACCTCTACACTCGGAGAACAGCGTGGAACAGTAGTAATGTCTTTCAGCAGACCGAGTATATTCCTAGACAGAATAAGTACTCCACTATAAGAGGTAAAATTAGCAAGAAGCAGGTATAAACACCGAAAAAAGGTCTCTTTCATAAGAGCACCTTGAATAAAGCATACACACACAAATTGTAAAGAAATACACAATACAAAATGGTTATAAAAACCGTAAAAAGGTCTCTGTAAAAAGAGCACCTTAAACAAAGTACATAAAGAAGAAATAGTCTTTCGGCAGACGACAGGATATCTTTCAGCATAAAAGATATACCGTACTATATAGTTATGATAATTAATAAGGGCCCTATCATAAGAAAACCGTAAGAAACGAAGGTAAAATGGTAACAATAACCGACAAAGCTCCTACCATAAGGAAACCGCAACTAGACATTAAAAATCACACAAAAAGTAGAAAAAGAAGAAGAAAATCTGGCTCGAAGGACCATTATGTTGCGTTCTGCACATACGATGACCTCAATATAACAGTTAAGGTCATCCTGAAGGGGGAGAGATATTCTGTTCAATCCAGAACACGCTGGTTTCCCCCTTTCGAAATGGGTATGTATATTAACAATTATGTATGAACAAATTGAGAGGTAGAATGCACAACCCTCACGGCAAACCACGTGTCGGTCGTTTCGAAGACGAAACTCAACTATTTACTATATGGAATGCAAAACCTTTATCTTAGGTACACACATGTGGCGATATTTGGCAGATGGCTTCGTGAGACTTTATTTGTTAAAATAGCTGCATTATTTCGTATAGGCAAATCTGGTATAAATATACTACGGGGAGAATTGAAACTAACAAAAAGACTGTTCATATTTAATAAATGTTCATGTATCGTTCTTCTTCTTCTTAAGGTTCCATCTTCTAACGAAGGTTGGATATCAACATGGCAATTCTTATTTTACTTACAGCAGCTCTAAATAGTTGGCTAGAGCTCAGACTAAACCATTCCCTTAGATTTCGTAGCCAGGAGGTTCGTCTTCTTCCTACATCTCTTTTACCTTTTATTTTGCCCTCTATAATCAAACGTAGTAGCCCATAACGAGGACCTCTTAATATATGACCGAAATATTCAAGTTTCCGCCTCTTAATTGTCTGTACAATTTCTTCCCTCTTATTAACCCTATCAAGGACTTCAATATTGGTAATTTTGTCTACCCATGCTATTCGTAGCATCCTTCGATAACACCAACGCTCAAAAGCTTCCAATTTCTTAATCTCCAGTTGTTTCAATGTCCATGCCTCAGATCCGTAGAGCAAAGTTGTAAAAATGTAGCAGCGCAATAACCTTATCCTTAGATCCATTCTTAGGTCTCTACTACACAATAGATGTTTCATTTTTACAAATTTTGCCCTTGCTATTTCTATACGGCTTTTAATCTCTTGCGTTTGTTCTGCGTTTTGACTAACCAATGTTCCTAGATATTTGTATTTATCTACCCTTTCTATCTGGATATTATTAATATGGAGTGTCTCGTTGTCTTTTGGATGTTTTGTAATGACCATGAATTTTGTTTTCTTTAAGTTCATTTTAATACCATATATGGTACACTTTTCATTCAGCCGTTCCAGTATGTTTGTTAGACTTTGCAGAGTTGAAGTGAATATGACAGTATCATCGGCATATCTTATATTATTAATAATTTCACCATTTATTATCATTCCATCGTTACACTCTCCTAAAGCTTCTTGGAAAATGGCTTCGCTATATATATTAAACAGCAGTGGTGACAATACACAGCCCTGTCTCACACCCCGAAGAATTTCTATTTCTTCCGACATTTGATTTTCAATTCTTATTTTGACTTTCTGGTTCCAGTAGAGGTTCGAGATTACTCTGATGTCGCGGCTATCGATGTTTTTCATTTTTAAAATATTAATTAGTTTATTGTGCTGTACCTTGTCAAATGCTTTTTCAAAATCAATAAAACATGTATACATGTCTTGGTTCATATCCAGATTTCTTTGCATGAGCACATTTATACCGAACAATGCTTCCCTGGTTCCCGTGCCGTTTCTAAAGCCTAACTGACTATCACTAATTTCATCATCCAGCTTTCTGTAAATTCTGTTGTGGACTATTCGTAGAAATACTTTCAAAACATGGCTCATTAATGCAATTGTACGGTGTTCTGAGCATTCTTTTGCATTTTGCTTTTTGGGAATAATTACGAATGTGGATACTAACCACTCCTTTGGTAAAATACCTGTTTGATAAATATGATCATAAAGTTCTACTAGAATGTCTATCATTTCATCATCGATCAGTTTAAGAAACTCAATCGGGATTTCATCCGGACCTGTGGCCTTTTTCCCTTTTGTCTGTTTTAATGCGTATTGAACTTCCTGTTTTAAAATTTTTGGTCCCGATTCACCAGAGTCCTCATCTATGATTTGTTGTCTGTCATCCCCGAATAGTTCTTTTATGTATTCTGTCCATCTGTTTAGTTGTTGTTTTGTATCTGTGAGAATGTTACCATTCGAGTCTTTTATAACATGTATATTATTTTGTTTTCCCGACGTCATTTCCTTCACTTTCCGATGAATATTGAAACTATCATATTTCTTTTCATATTCTTCTATTTCGTGACACTGTTCAGTTAGCCATCTTTCTTTTGCTGTTATTATGTCTTTTCTAATCCTGCTGTTTAAGGATTTGTATTTGCTAGTGTTTATGTTTTTATATTTTCTTCTTTCATTCATGAGAGTTAGTATTTTGTCTGTCATCCACATATGTCTTTTCTTTGGTATTGGTCCACGTATTTCTTCTCCCGCTTCTTTTAAAGCTTGTTGAACCTCTCTCCAATTTTCATTTACGTCTTTAGAGTTGGTGTTTTTTGACTTGATGGGTTTAAGATTATCATTGATTTTCTGTCTAACTCTTTGTTCTATCTGAGTATCTTTTAATCTTGTCACATCGAATTCTTTTCTAATCTTTTTGTTTTTTAACTTTTTTAATTTTGCTTCCATTTCGACAATAATAGGGACGTGATCCGAGTATATATCGGCACCTGGATAAGTTTTTGCTGATTTTATTGAATTTTTAAACCTATTTCTGATCAAGACAAAGTCTATTTGGTTTCTGACGATGTGTGATTCTCGGTCTGCTGGTGATTTCCACGTGTATAGTCTACGTTTAGGTAGATCAAATAAGGTATTTACTATAACCAGATCTTCATTTTGGCAAAATTCTAAGAGTCTATCTCCACGTTCATTTCTAACGACCAATCCAAACTCACCAATCCATGGTGCCACTGCTCCTTTACCAATTTTGGCGTTAAAATCCCCTAGGATGATTGTTATCTCACATTTTTTTGTCAATTTTAGAGCGGCATTGAGTTGATTATAGAATATTTCAATTTCCTCCTCATCTTTGTCGGCTGTTGGAGCATACACCTGTACTATGTTTATTGGAACAGTCTTTGAATTAAGTTTCAGAATCGCGACTCTGTCTGACATTGGAGTAAAGCTTATTACTGTTCTATTAATTTTGTAATCAACGAGAATTCCTACGCCATACAAATGTGATGGGTCATCGTTTCCTGAGTAGTATAGCATTCCGTTGTTTGTTATACATTTACCTGTTCCTTGCCATCTCACATCGCTAATTCCTAATACATTTACATTCAAACGTTCCATTTCTAAGATGGCATTGTCTAGTTTTCCAGCCATAAACAGACTTCTAACATTCCATGTCCCAACTCTAATACCTAGTCTAGTTTTGTTCGACTTGTTCATGTTTTTACAGGGATTTTGCATGTTGACGACCGGAGAGGCCCCATAGTCTTGCGATTGCCCTCTCCTGCCGGATCTTGGTATCCGTATTCCATGATCAGTAACATTTTTGAGTAGGTCTTTACTAGCCATGTTGACTTACTAAGGATATTCTTTTGAACCTTTAATGCAGTGGTTTCCCCTTGCCTTCTGCATCCTTATGCCGTTGACCGTATACTTGGCTCATCCGCCTTTAGGGTCGATTTCTCAGCCCAAGGACAAAAGAGTGCCCTACCACTTACCAACTCATCCGTCCGAAGCCGTTGATCAGTAAGTGGGGGATTGCTTATACCGGCAATCGTTCGGTGGAATTTTCGCCATATCTGGCTACCCTCACTTAGTTTAGCCTGCAGACCAATGCAGTTGCCCGGGGTGTGGCACGTGGAGCCATAAGTGAGAGTTAGCTGTCTT